GCGGGCTCAGGGCTCCGCGCGCCGGGGCGGATCCTGGCTGCACCAGCCGTGCCTCAGTCTCCCACGTGTAAAAGCACTCCCTAGGATGGGTGGGGATGGGACGTGGTGATGAGTGGAAGGGGCTGGTAGATGCCCCGGCTCAGAGGACCCGGCTGCAGTCTGTCAGGACTGAGGGCACCGTTACCATGGGAACTGGGGAGATGGGCTGGTGGCAGGATGTTCCCACGACGGAGCTGACCAGCGATCTTCTTCCTCTTTAGGGCGAGAAAGGACCCCAAGGACCAGCTGGCCGAGACGGTCTCCAGGGCCCTGTGGGGCTCCCCGGTCCGGCTGGCCCTGTGGGCCCCCCCGGAGAAGACGGAGATAAGGTAAGGAGAGTGGAGGAGGCCCCTCCTCAGACGACACTCGGCCCCACTGGCCAGTGCCCGCGGGTCAGGGCCGGGGCGGTCACTGTAGACAAAGGGATGCGAGCACTGTGGGGACTCCGGGGACAGAGCCACTCTGCCCGCCCTGTGTTCTCAGTGCCAGTGGCCGCCCTCGGTCACAAGCGGTCGTAAACGAGGCTGCTTGTATTTACGATGTTGTCATTTACCCGACCACTGAGCTAGCGGGAGCTTAGAAAGTGCTGCCCGACTGCGCGGCGTCCGTGTTGCCCGACATGCCTGGAGCTGGCGCTGGAGCGGAGCGAGCACCGAGCTGCCCCGCATCCTTGCGGATTCTAAATCCGTGGAGCCGACTCCACGCGGTCTCACTCAGCGTCTATTTTGAGGTGTCTTCACGCGAGTCGGGCTGCCTCGCATCGGGACTGTGCTTCAGAATTCGGTGCCGCTGCCGTGGCAGCCTGTGTCTTCCCCTTCACGTAGCGAAGACACTGGATTTAGCTCTCCGGGTTAACGTCCCACTTAAGCAGCCCTCCGGTGACATTTCCGACTCCGTCACCTCTGCGCAGCTGACGGCTTGCCTCTCGGGGCGGAAGCCGCTGTGGCTCCGCAGAAACCCCGGAGAGGTTTTCTAGCTGCTTCGGAAGCACGGCCCCCGGCTGCTGGCTGTTGTACTGTCGCGCAAGCCCGTCCGACAAACAGTAAACGTGTTCACGGCGGCTCTCACCACATTTGCAAATCCACTAAAGCTCTGTGTCACGTAGGATCAGGGCCTCGTCCCGTTCAGCTCTCGTATTAAAAACGGAAATCAAAGCAGCACACGGAAACGTCCCCTCAGGTGTTGGCAGCGTCCCCGGGACGCAGATTGTTCTGAATCAAGACGAGGTACCCGCAGGGGTGGGAGCGTCTGGCCTCATGAGTCCACGTGTCCCCACAGGGAGAAGTCGGGGAGCCAGGACAGAAGGGGAGCAAGGGGGACAAAGGCGAGCAGGTAAGGACCGCGGGGGCGTGTGCGGGGCCGCCCAGGGCAGGGGGGCCACGCACTCAGCGTGACACACGCCGTTGCTGATGTTAGCAACGTGATTAATGTGACAACACGAGCGACCGACAACCGAGGACACAGCTGACGATCCCTTTCCTGTCGCGATCTCGTGTGTGTGTGGATGCACGTCTGTGTGTGTGGATGCACGTCTGCATGTGTCCGGGGACAGGAAGCACGCACAGGTTCGGGGGAGGAAAGCACACCCAGCGCTTCTGTCCTCGAGGCCGTCAGGTCCGCAGACGTGACCACGCCCCCTGGTGCCGAGAGCCGCAGAACATTCTGACGGGGTGGCACCGTCGCCAAGCGCCTCTCGACTTCGCCCTCTTTCCTCTGCTCTGCTGGAAAGTCTACCGTGTTCTTGCCAAAGCTCCGTCCCATGGCCGCCAGCTCCTCCGGTGGGCGAGGAACGTGTCCTGTCTGCTGTGCAGGCGGCGCTTCCCGCCCTGCACTTCTGTCCCCAAGCAGTTGGTGATCACGTTTCTGTCGGAGCCTCGTCCTGGAGCTGGTCAGGCTCCCAAGGACAGCAGTGCCCTGTCCCCCTTGCTTCCCTCCCTCACACACTCCCCGTGCTGACAGCGAGGTGTGTTTGGGGACGTAACAGGCAGGGCGTCACGGAGCCAGGCCCCAGTTCGGCCATGGAAGAGCTGTGGGACCCCAGTCCCTGTTTTACGGCCGGGGCCTCCCTGGGGCCCATGTCATGGGTGTGTGGCAGGGGTTAAGGCAATGCACGGGGGCCTCTAGCAGGATGTTGGTGGCGGCCACCACTGCCACGCATGGAAGCGTGCTCTCGTGGTTGAGCCAGGAGTGCCACCGGTTCCAGACCCTGCAGGAAGCTTGCACTGTCGTGTGAACATTCTTTTGTGTGATGGCCACGAGCGGGGGCTGAACCGATGACCTGGGACGCACGGCCCCCTGCACTGACCAGCCCCTCTCCCTTGGCCCAGCTGTGGTTCAGGAAGCAACTGTGTCTGTCTCTCCCCACAGGGCCCACCTGGGCCTACCGGTCCTCAAGGCCCCATCGGACAGCCAGGCCCCTCGGTGAGTATCTGTGGTTAAGGACACTCACACGGTCCCCGAGCCCCCGAGTGGATGGTACCGGGAACCGGTCCTCACCCGCGAATCCATATCTCCCTGCAGGGGGCTGACGGCGAGCCAGGGCCTCGAGGCCAGCAGGGCCTTTTTGGGCAGAAAGGTGATGAAGGTCCAAGAGGCTTTCCTGGGCCCCCCGGACCTGTGGGGCTGCAGGTAACTGTAGAGTTGGCATGCTGACAGGCAGTTTCCCTCGGGCACGGTCACTCCCGCGCCTCGTCAACCTGCACTCACACGTGGGGGTGCACACTCACTTCTCTATCTGCTTTTACAAAGTCTGAATCACGCGTTTGTGTAGGAAGTTTGCGCCCAGCTTTCCCGTTCCAGCGTACGAGTCGTGTTGAATGTCATCAGATAGTCTTCGAACACGTCAGTTTTATTTATGTTTGAAAACATGATTTTTAGTCACTGCATAGTATTCTAGCATATGGTGGTGACATCATCAACTCAGACACTCCCCCGCTCCTGGCTCATTAGGTTTTATTGTTGTATGGGACGATGCAGTAAGCGCTTTTGTCCATAAATCTTTGCGTGGTGCCTGTCTCTCCCCACAGGGCCCACCTGGGCCTACCGGTCCTCAAGGCCCCATCGGACAGCCAGGCCCCTCGGTGAGTATCTGTGGTTAAGGACACTCACACGGTCCCCGAGCCCCCGAGTGGATGGTACCGGGAACCGGTCCTCACCCGCGACTCCATATCTCCCTGCAGGGGGCTGACGGCGAGCCAGGGCCTCGAGGCCAGCAGGGCCTTTTTGGGCAGAAAGGTGATGAAGGTCCAAGAGGCTTTCCTGGGCCCCCCGGACCTGTGGGGCTGCAGGTAACTGTAGAGTTGGCATGCTGACAGGCAGTTTCCCTCGGGCACGGTCACTCCCGCGCCTCGTCAACCTGCACTCACACATGGGGGTGCACACCCACTTCTCTCTGCTTTTACAAAGTCTGAATCACGCGTTCGTGTAGGAAGTTTGCGCCCAGCTTTCCCGTTCCAGTGTACGAGTCGTGTTGAATGTCATCAGATAGTCTTCGAACACGTCAGTTTTATTTATGTTTGAAAACATGATTTTTAGTCACTGCATAGTATTCTAGCATATGGTGGTGACATCATCAACTCAGACACTCCCCCGCTCCTGGCTCATTAGGTTTTATTGTTGCATGGGACGATGCAGTAAGCGCTTTTGTCCATAAATCTTTGCATATTGTCTAATTATTTCCCTGGGCTAATTCTGAGACCTGGAATCACGCGACGTCCTCATATTTAGTGCTGCGCTAGAGGCACCTTGCCGAGGCTCGTGGACGCCCGCTAGGGCATGGCGTGGGGAGACAGAGGG